CGTACAATCAATCCTATTTTAAGAAAACTATTTATCATGGGCGCCGAAACAGTCCTACATATTCATGTTCTAGTTGCATAACAATTCAAGTGTGGCCACGTCTGATTTGTAAGTAATCTAAGCCTTATATAGCTGTGACTGTGTTAGAAATATTTAATTAGCTAGTTAAACAGATGCAGTTTGTGTTTTAATTACATAGATAACTATAATATTACTGATGAAATATAATTCCCCACTAGACATAGATATAAGATGCGTAAATGAGTTTTTTTTTTTTTTTTTTTTTTTTTTTTTACATATTATTGATATTTCACACGAAGCGGGCAATAATTAAAATTGTAACACGGATCTGACTAGAATGGCGCAGCCATATCAATGATAATATTTTAATTATTGCCTACTTTGTGGGCAATAACTGATTTATTCCAAGGTTCTATTTATACTTCCATACTATTTTTTAATTAAAAGTAGCGTACTTCGTAAGGTTGAGTTTATTAATCATGAAGTTTCTTCTCTCCGTTGCTTTTTTTTTAATTGTTTTATTTTTTATTTTTTCTATTACTCGAACTTTTTTTGACAATTGAAAAACTCTTTAAGATATAATAAACAAAAAAAGATATACGCATAATCAAAAAGGAAATTTAAAAGTTCCGGATTAGTCCGAACTCGAGATCTGGGCAATGACATAAATAAAGAGTATGGAAGTATAAAAAGAACCGTGAATAAAATTTAAAAACTAACCAGTTAAATCCAAACCGTTTCGAATCAAAATACTCGCTACAAGTAGTTGGAGCAACCCCAAACAAGATCCCAACGCCAAGTCCGATACAAGATGTGACAACCCACAGCTGGGCCGTAGTCTGAACCCATAAAAGGGCCAATAAATTTCCACAAAATAGCCAAACACTAGCAAATACTAAAGAACAAATTCTAGATAGATTGAAATAATCTTTTCCTATGTCTGAAAGAGGACCTATGAGAATTCTTCCGAGGCATGAACATACTGAAAAGAGCGAGACATGAAAAGATTGGAGTTTTTTGATATCGTCATTGAATATAGTTTGTAGGGAAGTGTTTAATAAGGAGGGATGAGAAGGATGAGTTGGGGAAGCATGATAAAGGGTTTCAACGATTATACCGACATTATTTATGTACATTAACCCAGTTCCAGCTAAAAATACTAAGATAAGGATTAATGAAATAGCATCTTTATTATGAAGTAATTGCCATCCACTTATATCTGGCTCACTGTCAACGCTAGCATTTATGGAGGAAGAGGTAGAGATATTTTTATTAAGTAGAGGTGTTTGCTCAGTGTTCATTCCTTTTGCATGTGACAGAACACTATCTACGGAGATTTCATTATCATTTTCTATAGAGATTGAGTCATCGCCGCCCGACTCAATGGCGCTGGATGCGCGTTGAGGAGTTGGTACAACAATTAAAAACAGACTACCAACGAACATGCATAATCCGGAAGTGAAGGCCACGAAGAGTAAAAAATGGAAAGTGTCTTCGAACAAATATACATTTGCTTGGGAGTATGTAAATGAGGAGAGGGCAAGTAACGCAAGTGGGATACTTATTGCGGTACCTCGATATGAAGAAAAATTTTTTGCCTATGTTATACAAGACGTATAAGTATACTTATACAATAGAAAGATTTTCAGCATTTAGGGTGACTTACAATTGTTGTGAGAAACGATACAGCTCCTAGAGTTGATGGGTAAATATTTATCAGTGCATTCAAATTCAAGCACTCATACTCAATCATATTGAAAAAGCTGAAATATGGTACCTCCTGACGAGGCAACACCAGTACAGAACAAATAAAAAGCACATATAAGAAATGGCGATGGCAAAATTTGTTCATAAGTTAATGCAAGACAGGAAAAGCCGAAAAAAGTTAGGATCGATGCGACAAGGCATACTCTATTAAAAATTTAGGATAATTAATTAATGTTTTATATGATAAATAAATTGCATAAATTTGAAGAGAAAAAAAACAAACCTTCTAGCAACTAGAACATGAATATGTAGGACTGTTTCGGCGCCCATGATAAATAGTTTTCTTAAAATAGGATTGATTGTACG